TCTCAGACCACTTCCAGCTCTAATATTCTAGGTTCTAAGGCCCCTTTTGCTTCTATAGTCTATGTTCTAAGGCCACTTCCAGCTCTAATATTCTAGATTCTAAAGCCCCTTCCATTTCTAACATTCTAGTTCTAAGGCACCTGCTAGCTCTTCTGATCTTCTATATTGTAGGTCTTGCCCAGCTCTGACATTTTGTGTTCTAAGGTCCCTTCCAGCTCTGCCATTCAATCTTCTAAAGTACCTTCCAGGGCTGATACTCTAGGACTCTTCAGAAAATTCTCAGGAGGGGGTAACTTCATAGCTCTTACACTCTCTTCTTCCTGGAGTCTGACCTCTTGCTTTTCCTTGGCTAGGCCTACTAAGTAGCCCACTAGAACTGCCTGTCTTGGGTTCTACAACCATCCTCAGGTCACTTTAGTTTCCAGGCAGCACTACAGGGTGTCCAATTAAACCAGGACCCCAAGTGAAAGCTAAATGCCTTTCAGACAAGGCCTTGAACCAAAGTGAACTGTGGGCAAAAACAAATAACAACAACAAAAAAAATGTCAGAATAAACTGCCCTCATTGACTAAGCCCTGAATTGACCTCAAATGTTAATGTTTTTACTGAACCCAAAGTTTCAAAAAAAAAATGGGCAAACCAGTTCAAACTGGAACAAAGCCTTTCTATTTTCTTAAGCTAATGAATCCAACAAGTATGGAATGGCCTAAGAGCCTTCCAAGCTGACCTGAATCTAAGTGATGCTTCTCCTATTGTCCTGCTTTGAAAGCCAGTTGGGGTAGGAGGCCTCACTGACCCAGGTGTGCCTGGGATCTCATAGCAAATGAGTCTAAAGAGGTTGTTTAAACATACCTTATAGATGAAACAATCGCAGGAATGCGAGGGATGCCTGCTCATCCCCCTCCAGACACAGTTTCCCTCTTCTCACACCAGGCAGGTTTCCTCTAGAGAGCCCCCGGGGGGCTGTTGGCTTCCAGAGCATGATAGAGGCCAGAGGGGACCCAAAGCCAGGCTGGAGTCTCCCAGTCCCAGCTGGAGTCACACACTGGGAGGTAGAAAGCCGAGCACAGATTGGTTCAGGGCTTTTGTAATGATGAGCCAAGTTTACCAGAGGGCTTCAGAAGCCCTCCCTGAAGATCCCAGCCCATACTGCTCTCTTCATGTCTGAAAAAGACAGCTTATCTCATCTCCTTGTCTGTCTGTCTGCCTAACTATCTGTCTGTCTATCTCCTGTCTTCTGAACTTTGTAATTACTGCTTGCAAGCTCCCCTGACACTTAGGGTGATAGAAACCTCAGATATCAAGTTTTCCCCCCTTCCCATCTCTTCCATTCCTTAGAATTGAGGCAGGCACTGTTTCATTTTCTTGGGTTTTTTTCATCTCTATGTCCCTAGAGCGTAAAACAGTACCACCTGGCATATCAAAAGTGTTTGTTGAACTGAATTCAATCTAGTCCAACACCTTCATTGTTTAAAAAAAATAAATTTTAGGGGAAGCTAGGTTAGCGCAGTGGATAGAGCACCAGCCCTAGAGTCAGGAGGACCTGAGTTAAAATCCAACCTCAGACGCTTGACAGTTACTAGCTGTGTGACCCTGGGCAAGTCACTTAACCCCAATTGCCTCATCAAAAAGGAAAAAAAATAAATGTTATTGGTAGCTTTTGCTTTCACATCACCTAGATTTTCCCAATATCCCATCTTTCCTTTCTCCTTTCCTTGATACAGAAAATCATCCTGTATAACAAAGAATTTTTTAAAAGTAAAAGAGGAAGAAGAGGGGAAAAAAATCAGCCAAACTAATCAATACATTTGAAAAAACATGACATTGTATGCAATGTTGTACGCCCATGACCTTGGAGGTGTTTTGGAGCCGGCTCATACCAGATCAAGAGAGCAAATTATTAAATTTTCAATATGAGTATTGAAAACCTACCAAAAAAAATATGAGTATTGAGCAACCTACCAATCAGGACTTGAGTTATTTTTTGGTTGATTATCCAGATTTAAGAAAGTGATAGAGAAAATGTTAATAATTCAGATTAGACTTAAAAGCATGTTTTACATACTTTTTTTCTGGAGAAACAGTTATTAAACATTTACCCACACATCCCTGTGTGAATCTCCCACCTCTGCAAAACGATGGAGAAATGTCTTCTCACAGCTCTCTTCTAAGGCCAAGCTTATTTATAAATTCACAATATTCATTTTCCAATTTTTTGGTTGTTCTTTCCATTAAGATAGTGGTAGTCATAGTGTATATTTTTTTCCTGGTTCTGTGTTTTTTGGTTTTTTTTCAGTTTGCATCAGTACCTGTAAGTCTTCTCATGCTTCTCTGTACTGATCATATTACATTCATATGCATGTTTAACCATTCTCTAATCAGTGGGCATCTGTTTTATTTCCAGTTCTTTGCTACTACAAAAAAGTGCTGCTATAAATATTTGGGTATGAATGTGGAGCTTTTTTTTGGTCATTATTCTCCTGGAGATATGTGCCCAGCAGCACCACCT